TTGTATTTTCAATTTTAGCACTTCTATGACAATTTTGTCTTCAGCGACGGCAGTTGCCGCCTAAGCTCAGCTCCAGTCCATGCTTGCCTACCCGTTTGGATCAACCTGCCTCTAACAATCACGGCTATTTTATTGTTTCTTTACTTAGTCACGCTGATAGTGTATAAATATATATGTATATAACTCGCTTCATTTGTTACATTAGGAATCGCTACGACGTTCTCAAATTTTCAAACAAAGAGATTTCAGATTATTTCCACAAATTTAAATACACAGAGTAGTGTTAAAAAATCTATTTTTGCAATCAGACAGTTTTGCAAGTGAACATTTTATTTCCTATAAAAATGCTTATATAATGCCTTCTATAACACATATAGAATAATGGCACATTACGCATGATCGGCCTCCATCCAAGTATCATCAGAGCTACTGCCATCTTGAACGTCACTGGTAACCAATTCGTGACGGACTTCTCGGTCGCAGTTGAGAATTTCCATTAACTCCTACGTGTCACCAAAGTACTTTGCCAGAATTCGCTTCAGAGATCTTACTTTTGATGGTTTTATCTACGCAGGATTAGAGGGTTCTTTCGAAGGTGAAAACAAAAAGTGTCTTCCCCGTTTCAGCGACTTAAAGGCACCTTGCACCACAGTGACGACTTATTTGCGCTACGATAGAGTGAAATGCCATGTGGTCAGTGTTTTCAGATGCTGCATCGCTATTTTTTTAAAACCAATCACCTCCGCAGAGTCACAAAGTTCAAAGATTTCATGGTATTCTCCGGGAACGATTACCATTGTACATCGTTTAACAATCTTCTGACATATCCGGGCACTCGATCTAATGGTAAAAAATGGTCAGCAATCGAGAAAACCAGCTGCACCTTCTGTACCTGTTCAGGCACATAATTTTTTAACAAAAATGAGACCATAAAGAGTATTGTAGGGTTTTTATTTTAACCAGCACCTCCATTATAACATTAAATTGCTTAAAATCTGTGACACGGAGTGAAACGCAAGCAACGCAACAGTGTACGAATCCCTCCGAAACGTTGTTTTCGGTCAAACGCATTTCTGAGTTGCCCTCAACAACTTGCTATAATAGGCTATCGACTTTACTAAAGACAAGACCTGATCAGGTAGGTGCGGCAGGATCATGCTCTTCTAATAATTGAATGTAATGACTTTGAGGATCTTTCGAGTCTGTTTCCCATAAAATACGATCGAACAGTCTTTTCCTCTAATTTTGACCTCAGTCCTGACATAAGCGTGTCGCAGGTTGTGTGTTTGAGTTTCTGCTTGATCCTGGGACATGAAAACAAACATTTTTTACCGGAAAACCAAACATATTAACATGCTTCCGAAAGAAAAACCCTTGTACTCTTAGGTAGACGTCTAAACACTGATAGTTAGACATTGTCCAAAGTTGTTCTACATTTGGTAGATGTTGTTTTTCATGAGCATAGTGTCATCTAAAGGTCGGGGTAAGTTTTCTCTTGGTAAGATATTTTTCAAACGAAAAATTTTCATCACTCGTGTTCCATACTTTTAAATGCCTAAAACGCTTAAAAATGTTACCGGTAGACGTAAACAACTTCATTTTCTAGTTAATACTAGATAGCCAACTTTCGTGATTTACCGCTCTTAGGAGCTATGCTTGCTCTCTTTGGATGCAATATTCAACACAAAGAACAAATTTTCCCGTCTTATTCGGTTTTGCGAGAGGTGCGGTAAAATTATGTTGCTTTTTTTCGCAACACTAAATAGTAGACGATTTCACTAGACCAGCAGCGCTTTGGCATACTTGCTAGCATGAACGAACGATTTAGATTAGGAAGAAAGAAGAAAATACCTCTCAAATGTATAGCGTGTGCAAACATGATACGCACCCATAAAACAGACTAAAAGTGCTTATGTTAACTTGTGTAGAATGAAGACGCAAATATTTACAAAGGGCAAAGTACTTACAATATTGAAAGAAAAGATGACCGCCCCCTTATTATATTTCCAGTTACTTTTCTCACTTTTTTTTCCATGTTTCGTTCTAACTAATTCGTCTTCGGCCTTTTCTTTTTCCGTCTGGCCAATCGCTATCACATCGTCGATTTCTGAGTCAACATCTGCTGATTGAACCGTATATGGTTTTAAAGCAAACACAAACATCTTGCTGTTACGAATGAGTAAACAAGCATTAGATTTGAAAGTTACATCTGACGTGTAATGTTTATAATACGGTTTTTCTTCTTAGTCTTTGTCGCAGAGATGTCTGCAGAAAAAGATTAAGCATCTTCATCTTTTCAGCGATAGTACAGCAGTATGGGGTGTCTTTTATTTTTTTATCCGCATTAGATTGGTAATATAAAACATGCTTTACGATCCCGCCGAGCTACTTTGCCACGGGTCATACTTAATCTGATATTCACGCTACTAAAAAGTGTATCAGGAGTCTCGCATGTAATGTAAGAGTCAACGTTTAGTGTGGCTAACTAAGTTAAGGTTAAAACAAATTCAGGTCGATTATGGCAGCGACTAGTGTCAAGCGGTTCCTTTACCTGTAACCCTAAAATATATCAGAATTTTTCTTTATGAAAATATTTTACATGGTGTTAGAGGATAACAACTGACGCAATTTTTGTAGCCGGTTGAAATTGACTTATGAGATACAGTTTAATTTCGAAAATGATTCTGGCCAAACACAACGTCAAACGTAATTCCAGCAACCGGGGTGATTAAGTTTCAAATGTAACCGACGCATCGTCGCAACCACGAAGTTGACGATCATTGCTTCGAACTTTTTAAAAACAGTTCCATTAAGAGTGCTACCTCATAAGCTGGTAATATGAATAAAGCTACTTATTAATGAAAACCGACATTATAAATGAAATCTTTCGGGTTTCTTTATTTTCTATACTTGCTTGTTCCTTCAAAAAGTGAAAACAGCAAATTAAATGTGCACTAAGTCCGTTAATCATTGACTCCCGTTCATATTTCTAAAAGAAATGCGGAAATTTGTAAAGCAGCTCGGTTAAGGCATTCTTATTAGCCACTGCTAAAAATATCAACATCGTCATATATATTCCCCAACACGATTCGTAAGAAATGTGTAACCTTCAATATAGAGCCAAAGATCTATATTAAGTCGATTCGCATAAGTCTCAGAACGAAAAATACTATATATCTATTGAATGTGTTTTCCATGCAGAGAGTTATATATTGTAGTTGGTATCAGATATACTAGACAACATATGTAAGTCAATAAAAATGGTAGATTAGTTCCTAGTCATTTGCTAAACGATATATATATACAGGGACCCTATATGTAAACCTAAAGCTATTTTGCGGTAAGTACTACAAATTTAAGTACAACGTGGCCTAAACCTAGGCCATTCTAATTGATCTCGTAACGGTAGATTAACTACCTTTAGCTAGATAGAGCGAACCTAGTTTGTAGATTTGAATGCTGCTACAGGCTTACGTTTCAGAAACATATTAGCAATATGGATGCGCTCATCTTGAAGTGTATATTATAGCTACTGTTTCCTCACAGAGGTCCTAAAATATACTCGTTTTGTGGCCCGATTCACGTTTCAATTTTTGGGTTTGTGCAAGCGATACTGTAGTTTTCAAGACATGAATTATTCTTATTATTAGTATTAGAGGAACCGACGGTTAAGACAGTGAACAGTGTATATTTATGTGAACAGTGTATTATTAAATATTATATTGTTCATCATTTTTTTAAATTTATTATTTTATTTAAATACGTAAAGTTTTAAGATATTATGCTTATATTTAGAAACTGGCATTAGAAACTGACAAGGTACATTATATACATAACTCTAGTGAATATATCAAACAACACCCTTAATTCAAATCACCATGTCGAGGCTAACCCTATATGCTTTCACTAACAGACGGACCATAACAGGTATTATAGATTACTCAGCTTAGTGTAGATGCGCACCTTAGATGTCATAGTTCAATATCTAATAATACAAGAATATACCAGCCATTTGCATATCCCATAAAACCATGCATACTTTTTTGGGGTATTTGTTTTTAAATGCTATTACTTATGTGCTATGTGAGAAATGGTACGGTAAAAGTGAGTTCTAAGTTAAGAACACTGAAAAACCTTGCATTCCTTTTGCAGAGCCAGGATATAGTGGGTCGATGCTTTCGAAGGAAAAATACCACATCTCTAACCTCGCAACGTACAGTTTATGCGGGTTGACATTTCTTACCGAAGACAGGTATAAACTGATGAACGTTAGACGTGGACAAGAGGACCGACATCGCCTTCTTTGTCGCTAAAATTAGTGTCTAATTGCAAAGTCCGGCTTATTATTCAGCTCATCAGGTTTGGGAGATATTGTAAAATTACCCTTCTCTTTTTCTCTTCAAAATACAAATAATTTATAACTACTAGCGACTTCGGAGATTACTTCTATACATAGGATGGGTACACGAAGGTAAGGTTGGATTCAACAATGCATCTTGTAGCTCAGTGGCTGACAGAAATATAGCCTTCCTGAATAGAATTGATATAAGTTAAATCTTGTGCGAGGGATCAGTGCTATCAGCACTTAATATAAATAAAGGTGAAATCGCTCAAGGTTGCAACACGTCACTGGCCGCTTTTAGTATTCCGAAACGCTTGTTTACATTGATCTGGTACTGTCGAACTCGTAATGTATAGTTTTCATTGCTGTCTACTGGAAGCCCAGGAGAAACCCTGTCCGCTGGGAATTGAGCTACAAATTCGTATGGGACGTCCCATAGCAACGAAAATCACCAAAATACCCGGCTTGTCTTTCAGCGGTAACAAAAGGTAATCTTTTCAACACTGGACGCTTTTTCAGACGCTTATTTCTCAGCAACATGATGATGATATAAGATTGTATTGAAAATAGGTTACTTACTGAACCGAAGGCCATTAAATATGTAGTCTTTACGAACAATGTAAATCTCTTGTTTTTTTTTTTAATTTTTTCAGCTCACCTCTTTGAGACGGAATGACTGAAGATGATATTCCAGAGACGAAAAGCAGACACCACACAATGTTCATAAACATATTCCCTTGGATGCGTCGGCATCTATGTTAAAAACCCAAAAAGAGCGCGAACCAGTTATCCAGATAGGGCGAAGTTATGATCTTCAATGCATCTAGTCTGTATATTGGCCAGCACTAGAGTCAGTCACTTGCTACTAAATCGGAATGTGTTAGACGACTGCATAGCACCGCCTACTTTTCAGCACGAGCCCATTACGTATCAGATATAAATACCGTACGAAGCAAACCAAACAAGGTCTGTTTCACTCTTACTTCCACGTACTATCGTTTTTTATATAAATTTCACCGGTAACTATGAGTAATTAAAATGCTAGCCCAGTCACCGATCACTAAGCTAAATTGAACATCTCAAACATCGGGTCCAAAGGCAAACCTATCCTCACTCTCAGATTTAGCTTCAAGAACTTCACGCGTTTTAGATTTTATCACAGGAGCACCACCACCATGCCGCCCACGTTTATGGAAACAATGGAAAATACAATAAAATTATATAGTGTAATCCAGTTCAATGACACAGTTGAATATTTTCCTGTGATTAGTTGACAATTCGTCTTTTTTTTTCTCTCATTCTTTTTTCATCTCATCGTCTTCCTTCGATTCCTGCGCGAATACACTTAACGGGCTCGCTTGTGAAACAATAACACGGAACAGCAGAAACTGGGTCCTTACTGGAGCGGAGCACATCTCGAACTGAGCCCCTCTGACCTACCGCGGTGCTTGCGCCCTCTGCAGCCCCCGAAGCCCCAACAAAGTTCAAGAATCTAGTCACTAGGGTGCGCTGCGAATCGACTTACGGAGGTTAAAAAAGTAGGAAAGGACAGTTGCAGCCAGTATATAGCTACGAATAAGCTATGAGCAGTGAGCGCTCCGGGCCCTGAGGGAGACGGCTCTTTAGTCCTCTGGAAAAGAACCAAACGACGCCAAAAGAGAGCAGGGTATAGAGGCTGACTGTCGTCGCATTCTGCTGAGAGTAGGGGGAGCCACTGCGGTAGTAGCTTTATTCAGCTCTGGGCCATGAGATCGCCATCACCACGACCGCTCACTGACACCATTCGCCATACCTACACAAGCTTAACAGAACAAGAGGCTCGCAGTTTGCGGAGGGACGCGTAACGATAGCACAGCAGACGGTTTCATTTCCTTCCGATAAGTTGTTCGGGTGCCAAAAGACGAAAAAAATCCAGAAAGACAAGAAAAAGATGATAGTCTTTTTTCTCGAATTGCGAGAAGCTGAAGTTGATCGTTCCTTCTTTCTTTTGACGGCATCATTTATCTCCTTTACATCACCAATCCATATTGGCGCCGGCTAAAAGGCTCAAATAGGGCAGAGAAGATCCTGTTTCTTCTTTTCTATACCATCGGGCTATCGCTTTGCGTCGTAAATACGAGGATCGTCATTGCCATCGAACGAGTTAGGCACCAGGCGGTCAAAGAAGCACCACAGCTATCTCGCCTACGAACCAACAGATCTGCTCAGCGGCGGCAGCTGCTATTGTGAAGGCGTCCCAGAATACAACGTCGACTCCGCTACGGCTAGCTGAAGCCCTTTTTTTTTTTGTCTATGATTTTGTATGTCCCCCTCGTCTGTCGGCCTTCTTGGTTACATTATAAGAACGGTGTCGTAACCGCAAGAGCGAACGCCTCCTCATACCCTTACGGTGTCCAAGGTCACGTTTGCTCCCAATCAACAGCGTCAGTTTCGACCAGCAACCGTTGTGTTTTGGAAACTTAGTTAAGCTTCATCGAATGATAACATCGATTGAGAAAAGATAAACCTCTTTACTAGTGTTGATTGAGTCAGTGAGTCTAGATGGGGCGACATACTTTTCTTGAGAGTCAAGCCTTTGGTTTAATGTTCTGCTGCAATATATAGCATACATTAAATATCCAAGAAGTATTTTGCATATAATAAGGAAAAATGTGTACTACGTATAGCATCGATTTGACTTTCCTTGTCCTTATCAAAATACGTACGCTGTATTTTTGTATCAGAGTGTTTTCGATCGCAGAAGCTTTTCTCATAACGTTTATTTTTAATAATTTAGAGTTACTTTTTTATAGTAATTTGTAATTATTTAGTAATATATGTATGTGGGAGATTAGGCAAAAAACTAATTCTACATTGCTGAAGTTTGCCAGATAGCCAACACTAGGGCTGGTCTCGACAAAATGTATCTTAATGTTGGAAAATTTATGGCTATAGAAAGTAGGGTTTAACTGTAAACATGTTATTAATCGAACACCCCATATAAATTGCGAGGGAGGATAATTAGTAGTTTAAAGTAATTAATAGTGGGTTGTATGAAGTTAATATTTACAAATAAAATATCTGAAACTTTTTTAATAACCATAATTTTTCTAGCTCTTATCACTATATTTTCCAAACACTGTACCCTATTATTATAATATTTTTTACTTGAAACTCATGTAGCTTATAGATATTTAAAAAAATTGTGTTCTTGAAAAACAAATTAGAAACAACATAGGAAATAATGCGCGTTCGAGAAGGTAAAAAAAAATAATATTTCACCGTAAAACAGGTAAAAAAAAACACAATGACCACATATGTCTATTCTATATTGATCATGTTTCTGGGAATATATCGCGAACATGAACTTGGATGCCCTCTCATATCACTAGATGAATTGCAATTTATTGCTGTAAGTGAACAAGGTAGTTTTTGTAAGATCGAAGCTAATAAATTTAATCAGTCCGTCAAATTTTATTTATTCACCTTTATTGGTGAAGGTCAGATGCTCTGCACATACAGGTTAAATCGTAAAGGCTTCAATTAAAATCGATGACCTTGCCGTATTAATTACGAATGATCATTTCAAAAGGCAAGAAATGTTGCCTATTCATGGCACAAACGTAGGCCAAGATCTGGCCCACTAGACATCAATAAACCCTTTTTTTTTGGCTTATATTCATAGCCATCGATTCAGATTAGGTCTGACACTTTCCACTTCCGACCCATACGTGTGAATGTGGATTTAATCTGGGCTATAAACTGTCCGAGCCTACGGGTCGTTTGGTATGGACGCGGCTTTTTTAGTAGCAATACAAAGATAACAAGCTAATCACTTACTGCATGCTAACTATTGTACCACCTCAAAGCTGCGCTGTCAAGGCTCGGGGAGTCAAGACCCTTCTTCGTCCCATATGGTCGTTCTTCCTAGAACTAAACTGAGAGGTCTGAAGTCAGGTATATTCCGGTAACTGAGCTGCCGTTCTTCTATTTAACCAGGTTCTTCCTTGAATAAATCTACGTCAAGTTAGTTGGCAGAAAGGTATGTTTTACCAAAGGTAGAATTTGAACACCTCAACTATTGGCAATGATAAACTTTACAGTTATTCTTACAATTTTTCCGGGATGTGTAATTAAATTGTGGGAAACGTGGTAAATAAAAAATTAAAAAAATCGTTGTTTCTACCCTCACTTTTCATCTCTTGCATTCGTTGGGGAAGATACGTGACGTACAATTTATTTAAGTTGCGTCGTATGTCCTTTAACCTCATATGTGATCATCTTATGGCTCGTTGTGCGTGAACGAGCTTTATGCGTCCATTTTCTCCGCCTCGTCTCTTTCATCTTACGGGATTTTTCATGCGTCCTTCTCGTATAGTTAGGTAATTCCTTTTCTTTCACCACCTTAGCTAACACCACCTTATTCGCTTAATCCTTATAGCAGTACACCATCAGCCAAATCCATAACCTACGTTGGAGCGGTTCTGCGAATGCACCCGTTATGTAACTACTGTTCAGAACATATATGGCTCATACGTTTGTATGAGACGCTATATCGCTATTTGATATTTAATTTAAGTTAATTCGGTATAATATTATTATACGTACGCATGAAGCATTCGATATCAAAGAAAATGTAATTTTTCAGAAATGTACTACGTGTTGTTAAAATTAAATGTCGAATTCTATTGCAAGCGAGTGTATTCAGAAAAGTCACTCACTTATAGACATGCGCCACGAACGTTATGTAAATATAACATCTTTAGGGGCCTAATCTGCGTTACGTTTATCGTTGAACGAGGTCAACGCAGCGATATTTTTGAGGGCTTACCTTGCAACACCTGATTCGCTTAATTTAAGTAATTTAAGCTGGCTCTCTCCTTGACCTGCGTTAAAAATAGGCATGAGGTGGTCATTTCAGGCTTTCGTCCTCATCCTCCTATTCGACTAACGGACGACCTTCCATTCAGATCATTAGTATACTGTAAGCTTCTAGGATAAGGAAATGACCTTGCTGGTCTCTTGTAGATTTACCTCTATGTTTCGAAATTTACGTTCGGTATCGCCTTTAGGCATTCCATCAGACAGCTGGCTTCTAGCATGAAACGAAGTCCCTCTATACCTATATTCGGACCTAGACCACTACGTGTTTCTACTTAGCTTATATCTTTTACATTTGCCGAAATAGTTAAACACTAAGCAATGTGGGTAAAAATCTCTATTATTTATGATTTTTTGATTGAACTCTGCGTACTATGGAATATAAAACCATGCTAAAAGTTAACCAAAGGCAAAAGGAGTTAATTTTTCAATCGTACAGTAAAAGGAATCGCGTTTGTTCACGTACTCTTTTTTTTTTAGAAAAATATGATTTGGTCGATAGCTAAGTTACAATTATTTGTATAACCGCCTCTTCAAACCACACTAATGAGAATGATGTTACCGCTTTGTTATTTCGTGGACGTTTAAAGGCAGTTTCCGCATATACAATTGCAGCAAACAAAATATAATGTACGTAATGGTATAACGACACCCAACCCGTATACGTATCAAACGCTACTTCGGGGACTTAGGCTATAAAATCAATGCTAAGTGCGCACCGTTTTGCAATGACCGATAGAGCCTTGAAGCTAACCTATCACGGTGAGTACGAAGAAAAAATAACATACGCTGGATATCGTCGAGTCACCTTCAGGAAGCTCATAAAAAGCTTAACCATTTTACACAAGTCATGTTGGCTTCTTTTTTCACCTGCAAGTGAGATCGTTAACGGTGCGGATTGGGCAGAAGTCCTGAATTCTGAGCATATGTAAGCCCATTGAGAATCCTCTTAGAAGAGTCTTAGCACACTCAAAATTGTAAAAATGAATTTGCTGCGACACACTGTTACATGTGACGAAAACGCATACGCAAAGGTATCACGTAAAACTCAAAGCACAATTGCCTAAGTATTGCTTTAAAGGCGCAAGGTTGAAGGAAGTCGCAAGGCCCAGAGCAAGAATAAAGTTTTTTTTCATCGTCTTTTTCGGCTATCAGGCAGTTGAGCATTATGAGCTCATGTCGAGTAGTTCTAGGGTAACTAACGGGAAGAACCAAGAAGCCTTTAAAAAGATCGCACAAGATGTGCTTGAATTCCTGAAAAAAAGTTGTGAGCTCTTCCATGATGATGCACCGGCTTGTCCATTGCTACTTGTATAGCATTTCTCCCAAAATAAGTTATACATGTTGTGTCCCATACCCACCGGATCTAGCTCCCCTTTAAGCTCTTTCACTTTCTAAAGCTAAAGAAGTACCCAAGTAAATATTTGAAATGAGTCAAGAAAAAACGAGAGCAGAAATAAGGTCAATTCTTGCAAATTAGTTTTTCTGACACGATAGTACCATTACTTCGAATCATTGCTGTGAATGCCTCTATGACCGATTAC